AGGGCAGTAAGCCACAGCACCCTGTCAGCCACGCAATAACAAGAGAAAACAACCCCTGCTCACAGGGCACTGTGTTTCCAGTGTTACGTGAATGTTATATTTTGTGTTTTTCATCCCACCATGTCTGCAAAAGGCCCGTTTTTGTGATATTTTCAACTTAACAATATTTTCAAGTTGGATCATCTGTCAGTGTGCATGTGTGTTCATATATAGAGTTAATGATTAAACTCCTATAGATCTTCATCTGTCCTGTAAAGTATATCAGGCATAGAAGTGGTTCTTTGTGTCATTTCTGTATACTACGATATGAACTTAATATCAAACTTTTGGGAGCATCTAACTTATTCTGAACACTTTATCTCCCAACTTTTAATAACAAGATATTAGCAAATTTGATACATAAATATTCAGTTTCTTAAATGGCACTCATCCTTATGTGTTATAGATGGAGAGAAGAAAATATGAGTAACAACAAAGCAAATGACATTTGTAGCTTATGAGTGCTCAGTTTCATCTCATGTATTAGGATACCTAGTCTGTCCCTGTCTCTTCTGTAAAAACAGAATTCTGATGCTCAATTATAGTCCTTTGGGTGACTAGTTTTGTGGTTTTTTTTTTTTTAGCAGAGCTAAAGTAATGGATATTTTTGAAGCTTTATAGTAAAAACGACTTCATTGAAGACAAAATGAACTGTATGTAAATATACTCTAAACCTGTGTTTTAAGGCTTTACGTTTTAAAAACAAAGATGACACTGTTATACTCAGAATTCATTAGCATATGAAATAGATTATGCCCTGGTATTCTGAGTTTAGATTACAACTTGCTTAGCAAATGTAAAAGTAGTGTCTCCTGTTGCATGTTGGCTTGCATTTTGCTGGTTCATTTTTGTTAGTATCGAATAATAAAATTTTCATATGTAATCAAGATATAGTCACAGTAGGATTACAGAAAGCACTGTGTACTTGGCAGTTGGTGAATTATGAAACCATTTTTCCTACGATTATGTATAAATATTCAAATTAATCTATAGAACCACATAACCCTGCAACATACAGGGTTACCATAGACCAGAGAGCATTCAGAGCTTACAGTTTTATCACTTTCTGTGCAGAAATACTATTTGAACAACGGTATTTTAGTTGTGTTACTAATAAAGACTGTTGAAATAAAAAGACTAAAAGTAAGTCTTAATTATTTAAGTGAAATAATAAATAGGACACGTGAGGATTTTAGAACCCAGTGAAGCAATATTACCAACATATAAAATGACTGAGTTTTTTATATGAAATTTCAATGGCACACGAGCTGACAGTCACAAGTTTAGCTTATTAGAGCAAGTTTCCTATCAGAAAAAGTCGTGGTCCTGTTTTGAGAAAACAGTTTGATTTGGCCCAAAGAATAGCAAAAACAAGAAGACTCAGATACGTCTTGTGGTGGGAGATCATGCGTGTTTGGTTAGCAAAGAATGATTAACCTTCTGATTTTTACCTTTAAGTTAATAATAATAGACTGTTTCTCTTAATAAAGAAATGAACATGAATTCAAAATCTTTTCTCTACTCACTAGTATTGTCACTCAAGCAGATTACTTTTCTGAGCAGGTTATGAATAAGAATGCCAATCTCATGGTGCAGTTATGAGGCTTAAAAGTGCTCAACTGTGTATAATGCTTGGCACTAAAAGGATCTAAATGTTAACCCTCCTTACTTTGTAGGTCACCTACGACATAGCTAGTTTGTTAGGTTGTATTAACTCCATTTTAAGATCAAACTTGTATATAGTCAAAAAGTTGAATATACAGTGTTTTGGGTGTTCAGAACATGTTTTCTCCTACTCATATCATTTAAAGAAGGATCAGAAATCACTCCAGGGTCCAGTAGGGCCTTTGGCCTATGATACTCCTAATGCTGTTTACTGTGCTGGATATGACCACAGTAATAACCGACAAACATGAGCAACAGAGGATTCGTGCTGGACTAGGGACTGTTTTACCAAAAAGTTAAAGAGCTTAAGCTCAGAGACCCTCGCCTACATAGGCCCCCTCTTAAGCCTTGCATCTAATTTGTATTTGTGATTTACATTCTTCTTTTTTTTCTTTTTTCTTTTAACTTTTAAATTTTTTTATTTTAAAATTATGGGATGTAATTCAGGGTTAGGTATACAAATATTCATTTTGCAGGTACCCTTGTTGATGAGGTGTGCCCCCTTCCCCAGGCAGATTTCCACTACTGTCAGTCCCACCTCCCTACCCCACCCCCGCATTTTCCCGCTACTGTCAATCCTTTTCTTATAGTATTACCATAGTTGTTCAAGGTCCACTTATGAATGAGAACATGTGATACTCAGCTCTTTGTTTCTGTGAGAGATCACTCAGTATTATAGACTAATTCCATCCAGGTTGCTGTGAAGTACATAGTTTTGTTCTTCTTTATGGCTGCGTAATATTCTATTGTGTATATGTACCACATTTTTTTATCCAGTCCTCTTTTCACGGGCAGCATGGTTGGTTCCATGTTCTTGCTATTGAAACAGGGTATAAAATAAATAAGCAAAAAATGATCACATTTCTATACACCAATAATAAACAGAAACCCAAATAAAAAGCACAATTTCATTCAGAGTAGCCACAAAAAAAATGAAATACCTTGGCATCTTCCTAACCAGAGATGTGAAAGACCTTCACAATGAAAACTGCAAAACGCTGCTCAAATAAATCAAAGATGACTCAAACAAGTGTAAAAATATTCCATGCTCATGGATTGGAAGAGTCAACGTTGTTAAGATGTCCATTCTACCTAAGGCAATCTACAGACGTAATGCAACACCCATCAGATTACCAGCAACATTCTTTTCAGACCTAGAAACAACAATACAGGAATTCATATGGGAACATAACCAACCAAGAATAGCCAAAACAATCCTCAGCAAAAAAAAACAAAGCAGGAGGTATCACACTCCCAGCCAATGCATTCTTCTTGTTAAAGAAGGCTCCTCAAATTAGATAACCTACAGGTCCCACAAAACCTAGATTCAGTGTTACTGGAGTACCATGTGAAAGAAAAAAAATCAGTATGAGTAAAAAGAATAAGGTGACGTGCATTCAGTTTTTATTGCCCAACTCATGCTTTCTTGATAACCCTTTACCCAGATGCTCACACACCCTTGCCACAAGCTAGCCCTCACCCATCTAGGAAGGTGCTCTTTAGTCCAGCGTCTGCCTAAGAATTACCCATATGAGGAAGTCAGAAAGGGGGACACCTGGCAATCAAGGGGTTTGCCATTGCATCACCCAGGTATCTGATTTCTCACATTTTTAGGTGACTTAAGGGGGATGGATAGATGGGAACTAACTTTGTATCAATCTAACTCAGTACACTGGGTTGGTTGCTGTGCATATATTATCACGTTATCCACTACATGGTAAAGAATATTCTCTAACTTGAGGCTTGAAAAAGGTGAAATAACTTAGTCTAAACAAGCTAGCAGAACTGGAAGACAAACATGGAGCTTCTTGAAGTCAACTCCCAGGTTCTTTCAGCCTCCTTAAGTGGGACTGAGGCTGACTGCCAAGGTCAGTTAGCTCCTCTGAGGGAATGCGTTTTTAACCTGCATTCTCCTAATGGTTCTGAATAACTAAAGTCTTGCCAGCCACTTGGAAAACTTTTCTTTCTTGGTTCATTCCTTTACCCATGTATAAACTACTTGTCTGTAATATGCTGCCATCTACTTTATGTGTAGCCACACTACTGCAGAAGCTGAGAGAACTACACAATGTAATAGGGGAAGGAGAACATAATTTCAAATGAAATGTGTAAAGTTGTGGACGGTAGCCAAGGCTTAACTGCTAAGAGTCAAACAATGACTGGAGGATTTGCCTCACATGTTAACTGTGAAGTTCCCAGTCTCATTAAAACATCTACTGACACACTAGTCCCAATGCAATAGCATGGATAGAAGCGTATACTAATCAGAATGATACTACAAACATCTTTTAAGAAACTTTTAAGCAGAGAACTCACATCCATCCCTCCACACACATATGAATGAGTGAAGCTGTGACTTGAGCGTCGTAAGTGCCTACTCCATGGTAAAAAGGAAAGACTGCTCAGGTGATCCTGTTTTAATGACAAGAGGTCTGGGCAGTAGAGCCAAAGTATTTTCCTTTAGATGAAATAATGTTGAGTCAATGTTAAGTTCTCTTTTATAACTCTTCACCTGTCAGAAAACATGTGCACGTATTTGAGTGAAAGATGGCTCTAATTTATATACAAGGCCCATGAGGATTTTGAGTCATGTCCAGTTATTCCTCAGAGTAATACTTGACTTTGGAAAGTGAGACTAGCCAGGAATAAAATCCATGTTACACAAACCCTGTGTCTACATGTAAACTGAAAACAACAATAGAGGAAGATGCTTGGTTGCACAGCTGGCATTGTACAGACAGTTCTGTAAACAACATGTTTACAAATAATGTCAAGAGTTGGAACCTGAAATAGTATTGCAGATGCATTTAAATCTGCCATGATTTCCTTCAGCAAGGACAGATTTCTGTTTTTCTTTTTTATGTTTATTCACAAAAAAGTTTTACATAATCCCTTCTTTTAAGGAATACTCTCCATCTCTTCTTAATCCCCCAAGCCACCTCATTCCTACTGATCACAGCATAAACAGAATATATTTTCACAGCGTTACAGATTAACTATTAGGTACATGTCTAGAGAGACAAATGTGTCTTCTCTTGAGTTGCGTTTGTTTATATATTGGTCAAAATAAGCCAAAAGCTTGAGTGCCTGAAATACTACTGAGCTTTGCACATGTGAAAGTATTTGGTAAAAATGTAGTCTTGGAGATGTAGTATAAGCAAATGAAAAGCCTCAAGAATGCTGTGAGAGACTTTTATTTTTTGTGAAACATGTAAATATGCCATAGAATGTGCCAGATTTTACTTTCTAAGAACGCCAGTAACTTTTCCACCTCTTTCCCTCTCATGCTATCACAGATCCACATCCAGAGAACTGAAGGATGTGACCACATGACCTGCTCACAGTGTAACACTAATTTTTGTTATCGATGTGGGGAGAGATACCGCCAACTTCGTTTCTTTGGAGACCACACATCAAACCTCAGTATATTTGGATGCAAATATCGCTACCTCCCAGAGAGACCTCATTTAAGGAGATTAGTGCGAGGGTCCGTCTGTGGTGAGTATCTGACATGCTTCTGGGAATCTTCCCTGGGAATTCAGAGCAATAAAACTGAGAAATGTGACCCATTTCTCAAGCATCTGCTATGTGCCAGGTATACTAGTAGAACCTTTACCTCCAAAATGAGGAGGAAAATCTCTCACCCCTTGAAATCAAAATTAAAATTCTAAATTTTGTTAGCAGGACACTACTTATATGAAGAAGCAGATTTTGTTCAAAAAGCAGATTCTTAATTATACAGCAGAAATCTGAAGTCATTTGCCTTTTACATTTCTGAAACCCTATTATATATAAGCCACTTGATTAAGGAGACTTTGTCTTTTTTTTTTTTTTTTTTTTTTTCCTTTTTAAATCAGCATCTCACTCTGTCACCCAGGCCCAGGTTAGAGTGCAGGGGCATGCTCACAGCCACTGTATCCTCAGCCTACTGGGCTCAGGTGATCCTTCCACCTCAGCCTTCCAAGTAGCTGGGATTACAGGTGTGCACCACCACACTGCTAATTTTTCTATTTTTTGTAGAGACAAGGTCTCATTGCCCAGGCTGATCTTGAACCTCTGGTCTCAGGCAGTTCTTGCCTCTGGCTCCCAAAGTTCTGGGATTACAGGTATGAGCCACTATGCCCAGCTCACATTTATTTTGTAGGGACAGAATCTGGCAGCATATCTTACAAATATCCTCTGTTCATTAATGGAAGACGTACAGTACAGCACAGTATGGAACATGGTCTAAGGTGAAAGAAGCATCCACATTTTTCACAGCCCTATAGTGGGGTTCCTTATAATCTGTATAATTGATAAGTTACTGCTTATATTTTTCTATTGTATTAATCATCAGTAGCTAACAGTTAATGGAATGAATGTCACCCTCAGTGCATACAAACCCGAGGTTAATTATCTAAGTATAAATGCCCTTGTGGATTGGCTTTTGCCCCTTTTCTCAACAACACACAGCCTCAAACACAACCTCTACACACACGCGCGCGCACACACACACACACAAATGATACAAGCAGAAACACAAAAACCTGTTCATCATCAAGTCACCTTGGCCTAATGCCACTGCCTTTGGCTGATACGGTGTTTTTTGACCTAATCTTTCTTCTTCTAATAATTCCCTACCCCTCTGGAATGTATCCGCTGTACAATTTCTTCCTCTCTTTTTCATATTTCAGAGCCCCATTTTTTTTCTGGCAGTCTTTCTCAGATATCTGTAGGACTTTTTAACATCGCCCACATTTTCTCTTTTCTGTCTTCTTTAGCCTACTTCTTGAAAATCTCCTTATATCTCTCCTTAGCCCACTGTCATTTCATTACTGCTGTGAGCCACTTTTCTGACACTAACAGATTTCTATCAGGTAAAAGATAAAACATACCTTTTTAAAAGTACTTTAACATATGGAAACCAATGCCATTATTTTCTAAAATCTTTATAAACACTATAAAAGTATTCTTCCTAAGGGCTAATTAAATATAGTTTTCCACACCCAATAGCCAAGACTGGTTTTAATGATTTTCACTGTGTACTTTTAAAAATTTGTTTATATGGTAGGCATTGTAATTATATAATCAGTATTTACTTATTAGTTAAATAGATTTTGGAGGAATAGCAAGAGAATCTAACCCTAGCAGTAATACCATGAGAAACTGATTACAAATTAAGTTTGGAGCTGTAACCTATCTATAAACCTATATATGGAGAGAGCAACTCAAAAAACACAAAACTCTCATATTGTTAGGCATTGTTAGTTCTTTTCTTTTCTTCTTCAGTACCATTCTTGGACACTGTTGTGGCAAGATGTTTCCTTCCATTCTTTATTTTAAATAATCATTGCTTTGATGAGTCTTTTCCTTTTTTCTTTTTGTTTTTCAGTTTAGACTTTTTTAAATGAGGGAAGTCATTTCTGGTTTTGTTTGTCTGGTAATATTTTGGATGCTGGCTTAGTTCATTTTCTACTGCTATAGCAAATTACCACAGACTGGGTATTTGTAAAGGAATGATACTGATTTTGGTTCATGATTCTGGAGCCTGGAAAGTCCTAGATCGAGTGGCTGCATCACAGTGTGGCAGAAGAACAAGCAAGCACATGAGACAGAAAGTGGGAGCTGAACATATCCTTTTATCAGGGACCCACTCCTTTGATAACTAATACAATAATAGCAATTCATTTGTAACTGCTCTGCCCTCATGACCCAATTATCTCTCAAAGGCCCCACCTCCCAGTGCCATTACATTGGCAATTAAATTTCAACATGTGTTTTGGAGGTGACATGCAAGCCATAGCAGATGAGTTCTCTTTGAATTCTCTCAGTGTTTGCCTGGATGGCACTATAATCTTTTTATTTGGTCAAAACATAGAGTCGAGTTATTTTGCAACCTGTAAAATGGACAGCAAGCTAGTGAACAGGGAAATACTTTCTCTCTACAATCTCTTCTGTTTTCTTCTTATTTCAAAAGTGATGGTCAGCTTTTAGTAAATGGCTTTCTTTTTGGCCTGTCTTCTGTTCCATGTGTGTGCACACACATGTGTGCATAAAACCACATCAGGATAAACCTGGCAAAGTAGGGAGTGGCTGGCTGTGGGATAAGCTCTCTAACCCACATGGATTTTCCCATAGCTGCCTCTAATTGCTGTTGGACCATAACTTCAAGGGGAGTGGTCCCAACTCTCCCATGCCCACAAAAGGCAGGAAAGGAGGTTATTCAGTAATTCACAAAACTACTCAAGAGAGAGAGGATGGATTATAGAAAAGCCCTCCCATCCACCATTCGTATGTGATCTAACCAAGCTTGCTCCCTCAATCTGGACTGCAACCTTACATGTCCTTGGCCTGAGGCGGAGACTGGGCCTCCATCTGTTTCACAGCTAAAGGATAGTCGTTATTTCAGGTTACCATGTGCCCAGCTAGATATCAGATTCTGCTCATGTAGAATAAGGGAGAACAGAAATTTGGGGATGATTAGCAGTCTTTGACATGGAGGAATCTCCCCAGTAAGGCGTGGGCAGATTATTCAAGGAATGGTACTGGAAATAAAAGTGGTTGAGGAAAAAGTTTAAATTCTCACATCATGTCATACAAAAATTTTAAGTTTTGAATCAAGTCATATATTTGTTTAAAAACAGGTCAACTGATTTCTAAATGGCAAATAATTTATATGCACAAAAGCAGTGGAGCCTTTTCCAAAAATAAACACTCAATTAAAAAAAAAGCAAGGCTAGAACCAGAATTAGAGAAATACAAATAGTCAGTAAACATGTTCAAAATATTCAGTGTTATTAGCAGTCAGGGAAATGTAAATTAAAATGAGATACTGACTAGCAGATATTTTGTCAGATTAATAGCGCTGGACTTTCATCCTCCACTCAATTAATTGGAAATGATATACATCTTTTGCAAAGAAATTTGATAGTAATGTGAAGAACATTTTAAACCATGATATAGCTAGCTAGACTGACAATGGCTTATATACAAGTATAATTTAAGATAGTAAAAAAAAGTATTAGAATACGTTTATTACTTCACAAAGAGAGAGAGAGTACATACATATCTAGTTCCTTGAATTCTGTGGTGTTTGAGAGAAAAAATTCAGTACTATTACTATACAGTCATACTTCATTGCTACTAGAAAGATATATTGATAATTACTTGAAAAGGAAATATGAGCAAACAGACTGAATGAACTATGTAGGAGGTAATTCGATTATTTAGAAGTACACGAGCCTACATATTCTAAACTCTTAAACTTAGCTTTAAGAGTGTGCTAAACTTAACTGTTCTCTGGGACTTAATATTATTTAATAGGATTCTGACATTGGTGGAAAATATAAGTAAAACCCATGGTTAGACATTGAATAACTGAATGGTGATCCTTTTGTAATTAGGTATTTGAAACAGCATTTTATACATGTCTGATCACCTGGTTTCAAAGACAATGTCTTCAAAATTTAAAAAGTTAGTATTTTTCTGACAAACTTCCAACAAGTGACTCCATTATGTTTCTGCTTTTTCAGGTAATTGTTTATCCCCAATTACTGGCCTTAATTTATAGACTGGTGTCCCTGCTCCATTCTTAAACAACTGTGTGATTCTCCTGCAAAGTTCCTGTGTTCCTTTCTCATCGCTTGTTGCACCGGGGTTGTGCAGTGCTCTAGCTGTGTCACTTGCCTTAAGGTTGCTATACAATAACAAGACATGAGTTACTAACCTCTTTCTGTGCTAATGTGTTTCAAAGTCTGTGGGATTCCAGTGGTGGACTCTACCATGTTTGCATATAACTTGAGCTTATAATTATCACGGCTTTAGTTGTTCATGCAGAGAAGAACATGCTTGCTGATATCACCTGGCAACCCTGCCAGCGTTTAGCCTTCTTATTTATAAGTGCTTTCTCTTTTGGTGTGTTAAAATGATTCACCTGAATAACTTCCAACATGTTGTATATTTATCAGTAGTTTTCTCTGCTGTCTTGAAGCATCCCATTTGCATAGTTCAGTCTTTTAGATGTTTGTGTTATTAGTTTTCTTTGGACCCGGGAACCGCTTTTAGTAATCACCGGCTCTCCATCTTGTGAGCTAACTAGGTTTTCTCCTGCCAACTGAGAATGTACCACTCCTTTCTTAATCTTTTAGCATATTTCACACTGAAAATGGAAAAGGAGCTCCAGGAAAAGCACAAAGATTAATTGCCCTGGTAGAATAAAGCAAGCCAGTAGCTTTGAAAATTTTTTTGTTGTTGTTCTAAATGGTAAGTGATTTTTGAGATGTTTGATGCGTGAGCTTAGGACTCAGTGAAGTTACCACAGATGTGTATCTGTTCTACATGACCCAACACATTTCTTAGAAAAATATAGTCTTAATTGTAATCAGACTTTAAAAAATAACATACTCTGTGGTATTTAAACAGCTTTACTATAATTGTTTGGCAAATTAGCTTCGAAACTCTTTAAATTATTTTGCCTTTTGTTTTCCAGCTGGAAAATTATTCATTGCACCTCTAATCCTGGTCTTGGGATTAGCACTAGGGGCCATAGCGGTTGTAATCGGTAAGAAATGCTTCACATATCTTAGATTAGAACTCTCTGAGGATCATTGATAGAATATGAGTGTAAATGTAATAATGTGCATCAGTTATTAAGTGGACATGATTTCTGTTCAGTGCCTGCTTTAGATAGCTGATCTTCTTACGTTTTAAATGTTTTCCTGGAGAATGTATTTGTGAATTTTTCAGTCTATGAACACTCTGATTCATGTGTTTTGTAAAGCATTATCAACCCCTTTTGATACCAAGGATAATACAACTAGTATATTAGTGGCAGAGTTAAGTGGGTTAGAACTGAATTTTTCCAATTCTGAGTTCAGGTTGGATCATCAAGGAAAAGAAGCTGTTGTCCACCCTTACATGTTTGGTTTGGGCCAGTAAAAGATGCCCTGGGGCACTCTGCCAGTTGGATAAAGAAAATGTGGTACATATACACAATGGAATATTACGTAGCCGTAAAGAAAAACAAAACTGTGGATGAATTTAGAGTTTATAATACTCAGTGATCTATCACAGTAACAGAGATCCAAGTACTACATATGTTCATTCATAAGCGGACCCTGAACATTTATCATAATACTGTGAGAAAGGGATTGGCAGTAGTTGGACACTACCAAGTTGGGGGGGGTATCATGTATCTAACCCCGAATTGCACCCCACATCTTTAAGATAAAAAAAGATGCCCTGGCTGAAAAAGATACCTTCAATGTGTATAGGAACGTAGACCCCAACATACATTTGAGCACTAACAAATGGGAAACCTTCCAGTGATTTGTATAGTTTTATTTACTCAAGTATGTCAAAGTATGTATCTTAAAGCAGTTCGTTCTCATACTCCAGCATGCTTTAGAATAGCCTGGAGGGCTGTTTAAAACACAAATCACTGGCTCCAACCTGCAGATTCTGACCCAGAATAGGGGCAGGGTCTATGGATTTGTATTTTTTTAAAGTTCTCAGGTGATGCTGCTGCTACCAGCTCAGGGATCACGCGTTCAGAACCATCGTGTTAGCGAATTTTAAACTCAGTGCTATAAGTAAAGGCTGCACTGGTCATCGTGCCATGCAGTGGATGGGTTTTGTTGTTGTTGTTATTGTTGTTGTTAACTGTAATGATTGTCGTATGTAAACTTCTATTTAGCAAGTCATGCATTGCAAGACATAGAATTATAAAGCATCTGACATTTAAGTCCTTGCAATGAACCATGACATTATGAAGTAGATACTATTATCTGCATTTTCCTAGGCTTACTAGGACCTCATAAATGATAGCACTGGGAAACAATACCAGCAATTGGCTCCACAGCCTGTGTTCTTAAGTAAACTGAAGTTGGTTATCATATTGTGCAAATGATATGACTGTGGAAAATAAAGATTTAAACCTAAGGTTTGATATTTCAATAGAAAGCACTAGTCCACTTTAAACTGGTGTCACTGAGGAAGAAAAGGCTAAAGGGAGGAAAAGCTAAAGTGAAAATCTTTTCATGTTCAGGTATTGCTAAATAATTATTATTTGTTGATTTGTAAATAAAAATGGAAGATTTTGAATATATAAACCTAGATGTCTCCCATCCTAACTAATGTTAATTTTTTTTAATCCCTAGGTTTATTTGTATTTCCCATCTATTGCCTTTGTAAAAAACAGAGAAAACGATCACGGACAGGTATGCACTGGTAAAACGCAGGTTATGTCATCTAACTAAGCTGGTCCCAGCATGAGCTGTACAGAATGGCGCGCAAAACGTGAGAGGAGCCTTCTACCTTCTCGACTCCCTGTGGTTCCCACAGGCCACAATGCCTCTAGCTACGGTGCACTCCCAACATGGCATCCTGTCTTTTGCCTAAACAAATTGCTGCTTTTTAAAAATGGTCACTTTCATAAACTATAAACATCTAGATCATAACTCCGATCTTTGTTGTTCTTGGAAGAAAATGTTTTAATTAAGAACTAATATCCTCAGAATTGTTCTGAGCACACCTCTTCTGAGCATTGCTTGGACCTTTGAGCCCTGAATCTCCCTCCAGGCCATCTTGTGAGACTTGGTGTGAATAGCTGAAGTTCTGTCAGTACCAACAAGCAAGACCACTTTTCAGAAGAGTTCAATGAGTGCACCTGTTCTCTTCTGTGGCCCAAGCAGTATAATTCCTTTATCTTTCAGATGCTGTAATTGCTAAAAATGTCAGTGTCCAAAAGGGAACTAATGAAACTAGATTAGTGGGAAGAATCCTGAGTTACTGAAGTATACATGTTTAGGGGTGTGAATGTTGTATGTATATAAATATATATCGAAACTCGGTCTAATAACCTTGAACTTACTTAATCCCATGCCTCTACATTATCTTTCCACACTTTCATAGGCCTATTTAAAGATGATGGTTCCTTTGTGGGCATAATTTGGTAATGTATTGAATTAAAGTCAATGAAGACAACAGGCTATTTGATGTTGACCCTTTCTATTTCTTGCTCTCTCTCTTTTTGCCACGCACGCGCAGAAATTTGTGCAGTGTATGCCAAGGAGGATTAAACTTTACAAACTGACAAAACTTGCTTTTAGGAAACTCTCAAGACCCAGATATTCAGTCTTTTCAGATTTCTTATATTTTGGCGTCTGTGCTTCACTCTGTGGATAAATCCTTCACATGGAATTATTTACTCCAAATAACACGTTTGCTGTAGAGAAAACTGCTTAAGCCTTTAAACAAGTCCCTATTCTGCTAACTTTTTTAGCCAACTTGTAATTACAGATAATTTTGCTTTAAGTCAAGGTTTTACATTATTTAATAATACCCCATCCACTTCCCTCGCCTCTCTTCCTCTCTTTTTTATTTTTTGTGTGTCAAGTTTTTCATTAAAACAATCGTTTTGAAGGATTTTTCTTATACATAATGATTTGTTGGAATCTTCTTTTGGAGCAGTAATTTGAAAACTTTTATGTTCATGAGTTTATCTGAAATATGACCTACTTTGGGGGAAAAAAAACAAAAAATGAAGGAAATATTTTCAGAAAGTTTTCCTCAAGCTGAGAAACCTTTAAAAATAAGAACAGGCAACTGAACTATGATAGTCTTCTGTTTTCATCATAAAAGTTCAGCTGTAGACAGGAAAAAAGATCCCTAAGAAGTCTAAAGTTTCTAATTGTCTCCAATTCTTAAAATTTGCTGTCATAGATATGCATTTATTTGTCAGCAACCCTGTCTGATTTGAAATAGATTGTGTGATAAAACATGCATTCACATAGATAGTCTGTCTTCATTGGGCTCCAGAATTTTGCATAAGAACATTTTATTATTTTTTGTTTGGACTGAAAAGTGAAGTTTATTTGCATTAATAGCAAGACCCTGTGTTTTCAACCTTTCTGAATAATACAGAATAGCTATCCTACAGCTTCTGGACTAGTTGTCTATTTGTAGTTAGAGGAGGGTGTGACGTTTATGGTTCTGGAACAGCGTATTTCTAAAGTGTATCATAATGCGAAAAACAGTGATGCTCTAGTTTTACAAATTTCTCATTTCATTCGTCCATCCAACTATCCATTTGGCAGATACTTACTGAGTGCCTGTTTTAAGTGCTCTAGTACTAATAACGAAAGAAGGAGATTTTTCTCACCCGAATGCACGTGTTTCTGTCATAAAAGTCCTTATGTCTTGTAAATTCATTTTTCCTGGACTTAGGCTTGCCAGTATGTGAATAGCACGGATTCTAAATCTAGCAGATCTGTGTGTGTTTGATATATGGATATCATATATGGCAGATAGAACATATTCTCATAACTGCATATGAATACATTTGCCATATACATTTGTACCAACTGGCTGAATAATATACTCTCTGGTCTTAGATAATCTATTTTCTTAGGCTCTTGTATCTGTTATCTTTGGCCTACTCAGGGATTTTTATTTCTTTCTTTAAGTAACTTATCTTTTGGAGGTATTTTTATATTATTTGGAAAACTTTCCAGTATACCCATTACAAAGTGGTGTCTGTTTTCAATGAAGGCTGTTTCATCAGTGCTTGAAATAGTGCACATTGTGTTGCACAAAACTCTCATTTTTCTATTGCATAGCTTTTTAAATTAACGTATGCATTTTTTCTCTTTAAAGGATGATAGATATTAAGCCTTTCCCCACTGGTTACTTAATGTAATTGTGATTTTAAAAAAAAAACAAAAAACTAAATTTCATGAAGATCTTAGAATGAGAGAAGAAAAAAGTATTATTTATATGTCAGTGCCAATTTTGAAGGTAAAACAATAGTCGCAACTTTTGGGATAAATTCTAAAAACTGCTTTAGAAAAAGAAGTGTGCACATAAAATAAATATCTTTTTATTCAAGGCTTGTCATTTTTATATATTTTTATTGTAAATTTAATATATACTACTTTTAAAAAAAAAGAATTTATAAAATGCAAATTTCTCTTCTTACCCCACCCCTTATTTTCTAGGGGTAACCACTGTTGATGGTTTGGTAGGTGTCCTTTCAAACACTTTCTACAAGTATACACATAAGTGTGTGTGTTTATGTATATGTCCATGTGTGTATTCATTTTATATAAATAGAATAATATTCTTACTGTGCTGTGACTCTTTTTCACTTTATTATATATCAGTAACACCTTTCCATAAAAGTTTTGTAAATCTATTTACCTTCAATAGATTTCTTTTATAAATGACTGTAGTTCATTGTAGAGCTGTACTTTAATTTACTGAATTAGTTGAATGGACGTCAAGATTGTTTTCACTTCGCTATTACAAAGAAAGCATTGGTGAAGACCCTTTTGCATCTATTTTTGTCGAACATGTTATAAGTTTTTAAATTTTTGTTTTTTAACGAAATTTGTAATAAATATTTTAAGTCATTTTTCAGGAACTGAGATCCTAGAAATAATGTATTTGAGATCTTTTTTTTTTTTGGATAAAAGAAAGATTGTACAGGAATGCATAATTTTTAAAGAAAGGCATCTTTTGAAGGATAATTTCCTTTCTGCCTGATTAGTCAAATAAATATATTGTCAAAACTTATAAGAGAAACTCTTTTTCCAATAAAAATAAAATGGGATGAGGTGACTGTAAGGTAACGTGAGAAAGACAAATGGATTTTTGGATTGCCTCGTTTTAAAACTTGAGCAATTTAAATGAAATACTCAAACCGATTGATAATGTCTGTCACCTTTTTAAAAACACTCTCCATTTTGTGCCCATGGCCCAAGAGGAACTTTCTTATACCTTTGTGAAAAGTCGGAAGCAGTGTGTGGCAATTATAAGTGCCCACAGTAATTCAGAGAAACATAAATTAGATTGTGTAAGATTTAGTGGTTTGGTGTGATGATTGTAAGTTACAAAATAACATGAAATATTCATTTTACAAAAAAATCTCAATGGTTTCTCAGTGTGGAATAAGAATAAAAGAGGGGTCAAAGCTTTTGGTACAGGCAACATCCTGTTGCCAGGACCGTGATCTGCTCCTAGGTGCTCTTGTCTCCTGAGAGTAGAACAGACAGGAAAACAATCAAAGATAATTAAACACCAGTCAGGTTACAGCATGATATCTTTAATTGTACTTTTTCTGCTGTGGTATCAAGAGTCAGCAGTGCCTGTCAGGGGACCCACCATCTCTTGAATCCCAAGGCCCTGACTGAGCCTTTATTTTTCAATTCTTTCCCCCAAATATAAAGCCCAGTGCTCTCCTGAAATACCTATAAACTACTGTCGTCTCTTTCAGTTCCTGGCGCCCCTTCCCTAGCCTCATTTTTCGCCTCACCTCTGTTCTTCTAACTTCCTGTCTTCACTGAAACAAAAGACAAGATATGGGAGATGATGCAGAACTCACTCTGGCATGTGTGAAGCCTCAGAACCCTAAGAGCACATCTGCCAGGTCATCGACCCAGCTGCCCCCGTGTTAAATGCAATTGTTTTTAACACTAGACTTTGACGCTGCCTGTTAAACTTATAATTTAGACCATAAATAGTTAATGGTCTAAATAGCATTAATTGGCGTACTCTGCTGAGGACAAAAATAAAATGTATGCTAAAAATATTTTTAGACTTTAATTTTAGAAGCAAGCTGCACATATGCCTTAATGTGAGTTTTCACATTGGATTGTATATCCTTTCATATTTATGCCTGAGACCTATCTCCACTATTGAAAGTAATTTTTCCTGTGGTCAGCTTTATTGTTTTGCGTTCATATCTGTTATAAAAATAGCCTTAAAATCCCATAATGCACTTTAAAATGCTCATGTCATTTTTAATAATTTAACAACAAAGCAACTGATACATGTATTTCAATGGAGACAATAGAATAACTTGTTAGCAAGTATGTGTCATCTCTTTAAATCTGGGAGGAATCAGAAGGTCAAGGTTTAAAATAAGTAAAACATAACCTGAAAAAAGTAGCAATTTCTGAAATTATGGTAATCCTGGAAATTGGTCATCCGTATCTCAGATATAGTACAGAATACTTAGTAAATGCTACCTTAATAATGTAGTTGGAATATTTGTTTAAGATATTAAGTTAATTTCTACTGAAATTTTTAATTGCAATTTCATAGTTCATGAATTCTATAAAAGCAGTTTCCCTGACTAGAAACACGATAAAACCACCACCAATCTCCAACTTGAGCATATTTTGTTTTTAAATTATTGTAATTTAATTATGACATTTTCCTCCTAATATGGAAAATAAGTTCCAGAATCACATCTTCAGAGTCTCGCTCTGTTGTCTAGGCTGTTCTCAAACTCTCAGCTTCAGGCAATCCTACCTCTTCTCCCTCCTCAGCCTCAGAATTAACTTGGATTTATAGGCATGCACCCCTGACCCCAGCTCAAAACTGAATGTTTAATGGATGTATCCACAATTATTACTTTGATAAAACTGAAATAATTTTATGGAAGCATTAAAGTATAATCTGGATGAAATCAGAGTTCCAAAACTTGAGGAGTATTTTAAGATTGAGGAATGTTACCTTTTGGATACAAACCAATGATGCGAACCTTTAGGAGAGAAATGCAGTGGGATACCTTTGTTACTCTGGTTCTGAGACGAGAACTAACACATTTTATAGCCAAGTGTTTCTGGGTCGTCTACTGTACATCACTGCTGTGAGGCCAGAACTTTATTCAAATCCAAGAAACAAAGTCACAGTAGGGTCAGACTATTGTAAGGGTTTACTTGACGTATTCACTGAAGCTTTAATATATCACATATCTTAGAAGCATGTAATTATGCACATTACAAACTATATATTTTGGCTAAAGAAGTGACTTTTGAAAATAACACTATGGACTTAAAAGGTAATTCCTTATTATTTTTTTAAATACACCAAACATTGCCACTGCCTTTTTTTTTTTTTTTTGTACTTTTTTGTCTTCTAAAGGAAATTTCATTGGGGATATTTAAGTTTGCATCACTTAGATTATTCAGACTTATTAACACAG